CACTGAAACAGAGGTACAGCCCTGAGGTACAGCCCAGAGGTACAGCCCAGAGGTACAGCCCAGAGGTACAGCCCAGAGGTACAGCCCAGAGGTACAGCCCAGAGGTATAGCCCAGAGGGACAGCCCAGAGGTACAGCCCAGAGGTACAGCCCAGAGGTACAGCCCAGAGGTACAGCCCAGAGGTACAGCCCAGAGGTACAGCCCAGAGGTACAGCCCAGAGGTACAGCCCAGAGGTACAGCCCAGAGGTACAGCCCAGAGGTACAGCCCAGAGGTACAGCCCAGAGGTATAGCCCAGAGGGACAGCCCAGAGGGACAGCCCAGAGGGACAGCCCAGAGGGACAGCCCAGAGGTACAGCCCAGAGGTACAGCCCAGAGGTACAGCCCAGAGGTACAGCCCAGAGGTACAGCCCAGAGGTACAGCCCAGAGGTACAGCCCTGCTTGCAGTGGAATGTGGAAGGTGCCAGTAGTCGCTTTAATTTCACCATGCAGGTTTATATTTATGAGACAATAATCTATGAGTGCTGTCAGGGTCCTGGGTTGGTTCTGAGTTAGTAGGCATTCACACTCATTTATGGGGGGAAATGCAAGCGACTTTGATGGCTAATTTCTCTAAACAGGGGGGAAAAAACATCACCAAATTCACTAAGAATACATTACATAGTATGGATAAAGAATAATCCAAGCCACAGCTTCATACTACTTGTCAAACATAGAGAACTGATACTGTATCCTGGCCTTTGGGGTGGGCTTAGTGTGGGGGTTGGGGTGGGTTGGTGGGTGGCTTTTGGATTCCTCACGTATTCATCATTGTTAAGAAGAGGTTTGGTCCAAATCGGATGTTGGTTACTATATTTATTGAATATTATATTAATCCTATCAATTTTAAATGGCCGATTTGAGTTCAACTACAGAAACGATTTCAGAACAATTGGAGATGGTGGGTGTCGAAATCCTGAGGTGACTCTGGGATGGTTTTCTGCCTGGGTTTCGGACTGGGTTTCGGACAGTCCTACAGCATCAGAGATTAGTGTTGTATTATTCTTATCAGTCCTACAGCATTACCTACCGGTCTCATGCCCTCACTCCTTCACCGTGTTGCTCAGCCCTGCTGGGGAGAAGGAGCATGGGATCAGCCCTGCTGGAGAGAAGGAGCATAGGATAAGCCCTGCTGGAGAGAAGGAGCATAGGATCAGCCCTGCTGGGGAGAAGGAGCATAGGATCAGCCCTGCTGGAGAGAAGGAGCATGGGATCAGCCCTGCTGGGGAGAAGGAGCATAGGATCAGCCCTGCTGGGGAGAAGGAGCATGGGATCAGCCCTGCTGGGGAGAAGGAGCATGGGATCAGCCCTGCTGGGGAGAAGGAGCATAGGAGATGGTAAGATATCATATCACATAATAGGCTAATAAACTATTCAGAGAGACAGGCAGACAGACCAGACCAGCAGACAGACAGACAGACAGACAGACAGACAGACCAGACAGACAGACAGACAGACAGACCAGACAGACAGACAGACAGACAGACAGACAGACAGACAGACAGACAGGCAGACAGACCAGACAGACAGACAGACAGACAGACAGACAGACAGACAGACCAGACAGACAGACAGACAGACAGACAGACAGACAGACAGACAGACAGACAGACAGACAGACAGACAGACAGACAGACAGACAGACAGACAGACAGACAGACAGACAGACAGACAGACAGACAGACAGACAGACAGACAGACAGACAACAGACAACAGACAGACAGACAGACAGACAGACAGACAGACAGACAGAAAACTCCCTGGTCTGTGAGATCAGAGCATCATGCGTTCCAAAAGGGCTTTATAAAAGGTCGTAGTTCAGACTGGAGAAATTAAATGTTTGTTGAACAGGGATGTGTTCCTAGTACGAAGCAACGTGAATAAATCAAGTGTTTTCAAGGATTATTGGGTTTGAAGTCCTTTTGTCGTTGATTTATCAGCCTCTTAAACATGAGTAGGGCTAGCTGATAACGCATTCTCTAATCTGGCTGCATGTTGGAGCCCAACTGCCCACAAGACGTTATAGTATAGTATCTATACTGTTTGTTATAGCTCACTGTTTGTTATAGCTCACTGTTTGTTATAGCTCACTGTTTGTTATAGCTCACTGTTTGTTATTGCTCACTGTTTGTTATAGCTCACTGTTTGTTATAGCTCACTGTTTGTTATAGCTCACTGTTTGTTATAGCTCACTGTTTGTTATAGCTCACTGTTTGCTATGGCCTACACGTTGACATATTATGGTCAAGTTGATATGCTGAATTCATTGAGACAAACTTCATGAATTTGAACGCAATGAAGAACAGCATGACATTTACATTTAGATTTACGTCATTTAGCAGACGCTCTTATCCAGAGCGACTTACAAATAGGTGCATTCACCTTATAGCCAGTGGGATAACCACTTTACAATGTTTTTGTTTTTTGTTTTTTTTGGGGGGGGGGTTGGAGTAAAGGGGGGGGGGGGGGGGGGGGGGGGGGTAGAAGGATTAGTTTATCCTATCCCAGGTATTTCTTAAAGAGGTGGGGTTTCAAATGTCTCCGGAAGGTGGTGAGTGACTCCGCTGTCCTGGCGTCGTGAGGGAGCTTGTTCCACCATTGGGGTGCCAGAACAGTGAACAGTTTTGACTGGGCTGAGCGGGAACTATGCTTCCGCAGAGGTAGGGGAGCCAGCAGGCCAGAGGTGGATGAACGCAATGCCCTCGTTTGGGTGTAGGGACTGATCAGAGCCTGAAGGTACGGAGGTGCCGTTCCCCTCACAGCTCCGTAGGCAAGCACCATGGTCTTGTAGCAGATGCGAGCTTCAACTGGAAGCCAGTGGAGTGTGCGGAGGAGCGGGGTGACGTGAGAGAACTTGGGAAGATTGAACACCAGACGGGCTGCGGCATTCTGGATGAGTTGTAGGGGTTTAATGGCACAGGCAGGGAGCCCAGCCAACAGCGAGTTGCAGTAATCCAGACGGGAGATGACAAGTGCCTGGATTAGGACTTGTGCCGCTTCCTGTGTAAGGCAGGGTCGTACTCTCCGAATGTTGTAGAGCATGAACCTACAGGATCGGGTCACTGCCTTGATGTTAGTGGAGAACGACAGGGTGTTGTCCAGGGTCACGCCAAGGCTCTTCGCACTCTGGGAGGAGGACACAACGGAGTTGTCAACCGTGATGGCGAGATCATGGAACGGGCAGTCCTTCCCCGGGAGGAAGAGCAGCTCCGTCTTGCCGAGGTTCAGCTTGAGGTGGTGATCCGTCATCCATACTGATATGTCTGCCAGACATGCAGAGATGCGATTCGCCACCTGGTTATCAGAAGGGGGAAAGGAGAAGATTAGTTGGCCATTGACCAACGGTAGCCTACAACAGTTAAACCTAGTTTAGAAAATCATCTATATTACTGAGATCTAAACTAGAATAGAGGAAGAGGCGGAGCCAGAGTGATGACTGGGCCCCAAAATCTGTCTTCTCCTGTAGGTGGCTTTTTTAAACGTGTTTTTCACTCACCAAGTGAGGAGATTATGTATGGGGGTCAACGAGAGTGTCGAATTTGGTTAGCAAAGAAATGTATGGTTTATTTGCTACGTGTGGCTTGTTTAATGGAATAGACGTTTGGTAATGATTAGGTTGTTAGGAGTGTACTGATATAAGTAGGTCATGTGACATCCCAGCAACTTGGAGGAAAAACACTTTATATCGGAGTCGTGCCTGTTGTTCACGTGCATATCTGCCCTCTCATTGGCTAGAATGCTCCCACCTGATCTTGCCTCCTCGTGACTGCCTTCCATTTTTGAAGACATTTATTTTCATTGTACCACAACAACAAAGCAACATTATCAGACATGACACATTACAGCAGATTACAGTATTTAAACAACACATTTTATTCTCAAGTAAAAAAAAAAAAAGCTAAAATATTGAGAGACCCAATCATTGTAGATTAGGTTAGCAACATTAAGCAAATGTCACAATACAGATGACAGTATATGAACAATATATTTTATTCTCAACAGAAACAGAAATATTGATGCACAGGTAACACTTCCGTTGAAATGTGTCCAATGTGTCTTCTAACTCAGGGGTTCTCTAAGTGGGATCCGGAGGTACCACAGGGGGTCCAATACAATTACATGTATTGTTTTAATTAATATTACTAACAATAACGATTAAACTAATTTTGGCTAAGGGATCTGTGAAATAAGTTTTTAGGGTGTAATACAATACGATGTAATATCATGCTGTTATATCTGTTGCTCACTACAGAATAACATTTGTCCCTGCATGTGAACAGCGATCTGATGTCTCCTCTGCCTGACCATGGTGATGAATCCTTTCTGACAGTCAGGACAGTGGTAGGGTCTCTCCCCTGTGTGGATCATTACGTGATGCGTCAGGTTGCAGCTCACACTAAAACCCTTTACCGCAGACAGTACACTGGTAGGGTTTCTCTCCCCTGTGTGGATCATCATGTGTGTCTGGAGACGAGCAAGGACAGAGAAACACCTTCCACACTCAGTACAGCGGTGGGGTTTCCCTGTGTGGATCCTCATGTGATTGGTTAGATTGGTTCCTCCTGCAAACCCTCTGCCAGACAGTACACTGGTAGGGCTTCTCTCCTCTGTGGCTCCGCATGTGTAACCTCAGAGCATTATTATTAGTGAAACATTTACTACAGAACTGACAAGTAAACTGAGCATCAACGTGAGCTTGGATGTGATCTTTTATAGCATCGAACTCAACCCGTTTTCCACATAGCCCACAGACACGTTCTCTCATCTTGGTGTGCATTCTCACATGTTTAAAGAAATAGCTTTTCATGACAAACATCTTACAGCGACTCTTAGAGGGAGAAGGACGGGTCGACTTCACTGCAGAGACAGGCTGAGAAGCACTGGGTGTCTCTAATAGTTGATGGTCCTCTCTAGTCACTGCAGAGACAGGCTGAGAAGCACTGGGTGTCTCTAATAGTCGATGGTCCTCTCTAGTCACTGCAGAGACAGGCTGAGAAGCACTGGGTGTCTCTAATAGTTGATGGTCCTCTCTAGTCACTGCAGAGACAGGCTGAGAAGCACTGGGTGTCTCTAATAGTTGATGGTCCTCTCTAGTCACTGCAGAGACAGGCTGAGAAGCACTGGGTGTCTCTAATAGTTTTTCTGGCAGCCTTCCGTTACACACAGGCGTTCTGAGCATGCTAGATAGCTAATTAGCACAGGTGGTCTCCTCTGTGTTATGTAAACACCGTTGTAACCTGGAGAGATGGCTGTGTGGGAACACTAACCTTATAATAGAGCCCCACAGTGGAGGTGTCATAATACCCATAAAACCTAGCGGTCAAACAGGGAAATGGTTCCAATCATTTTTCCACCATTCATTTTTCCCATTGGGGATTTTAGAAACACTTAAAATAAGGGCTGTGTTTCGTGTAGTTTTACCCTGGGGTGATGTTTTGATAACCATGTAAATCTCTCTCGGACAAGGTGACTTTTATCAATATATTCGGCTGTATTTACTCTCAGATTCAAAAACGCTAATTAGCGTCAAAGTAGACATCATGCAGAACTACAAATCCCTGCAAGCTCCTGCACGTCATCTCTAGCTGACACCTTTGCTAACAGGTATTGTGTCAATTTAAAACTTGCACAAGACAGTTCACAGAATTGTCAATTGAAAGAAATGTAGCTAATCTATTCATTACTACACTTAGCCAACAGTTAATCCTGAGATTCTTACCTTTGCCTCGATTCGGTAGTCTCTTCCAGATCATCATGGCATTTGTAGTTCTTAATGATAGCTACATTAGCATTTCATTTGGGGGATAAATACGGGCAAATATATTGACAAGTCACATTGTCCTAGAGAGATTTACATGGTTATCAAAACGTCACTCCAGGGTAAGCCTACACGAAACACAGCCCTAATTTTAAGTGTTTCTAAAAACCCCTATGGGAAAAATGATTGGAACCATTTCCTTGTTTGACTGCTAGGTTTTATGACTCATACTGTGGTACACTATTGAACCTTTTGCTTTTTGCAAATTATTTCTCGCTGACATAAAAGATAAGTTCCTTGTTTCCAAAACCTAGAGCAAGCTATGCTTGTTCACGTTCAGACCGAGCGTCGGGCTCGGGGTTTCTTAACAAAATTCCCCCGGAAAGATGTTACCTTCATCAATAGGCGCTAAAGGTAATTAGCGTGTATGAATGGAGTAACGCTACATTAGCTCTGGACACATCTCCACAAAGCATCAGAGTCGCAGTTCTGATCTAGGATCTGTCCATATAATCTTATTAACCAAACTGATCCTGGATCAGAACTCCTCCTCTGAGATGATGTAGTATCTGAACTTCTATAACTTTGGCTGAGGTTTTCATATTGGGGGTTAGACGAACTTTACTCTGCTCTGCTGAAACATCTGGAAAGTGTTACTATAGGGGCCCCCTAAAACAGAAGCTGTAGGATGTGTTAAATTTAAGTGTTATTTCATAGTTTTGATGTCTTCACTATTATTCTACAATGTAGAAAATAGTAAAAATAAAGAAACCCTTGAGTGAGTAGGTGTGTCCAAACCTTTGACCTGTAGTGTAGGTGTAGTTCTACAGTGTTGATAGGACGGTGTGTCCTAACCTTTGACCTGTAGTGTAGGTGTAGTTCTACGGTGTTGATAGGACGGTGTGTTCTACGGTGTTGATAGGACGGTGTAGTTCTACGGTGTTGATAGGACGGTGTGTCCTAACCTTTGACCTGTAGGTGTAGTTCTACGGTGTTGATAGGACGGTGTGTTTTCCAGAGAAGGTCCGGAGGCTGCTGGAGGATCTGTGGCTGTGTGTAGATCCTCCCTCATCACACCTCCCTGGTATGTATTCAGGACGCATTGTGATGATGACATAAAGGACTACAACAGACCAGAACGTCATCATATCGCTCTGTCTGTCTCTCCCACAGGCCGTGGACCCAGCAGGAACAGTGACCCCGGCCATGGACCCAGCAGGAATGGTGACCAGCCAGTCCATGGACCCAGAAGGAACAGTGACCCGGGCCATGGACCCAACAGGATCAGTGACCCGGGCCATGGACCCAGCAGGAACAGTGACCCGGGCCATGGACCCAGCAGGAACGGTGACCAGCCAGTCCATGGACCCAGCAGGATCAGTGACCCGGGCCATGGACCCAGCAGGATCAGTGACCCGGGCCATGGACCCAGCAGGATCAGTGACCCGGGCCATGGACCCAGCAGGATCAGTGACCCGGGCCATGGACCCAGCAGGATCAGTGACCCGGGCCATGGACCCAGCAGGATCAGTGACCCGGGCCATGGACCCAGCAGGATCAGTGACCCGGGCCATGGACCCAGCTGGAACAGTAACCCGGGCCATGGACCCAGCTGGAACAGTGACCCGGGCCATGGACCCAGCAGGATCAGTGACCCGGGCCGTAAACATAGAAGAGCGGTTGAGGAGATCCTGGACTGGTTCAAGCCGCTGCCCCCTGTCCTCTCCCCCATACCCTGCTCCTCAGCTCAGGAGAGGTTGGATGATGTCTTGGAGTTAGGAGCTGGAGAGACCAGAAACCACTCTATCTACACCACAGGACCAGCTAATCAGACAGCAGGACAGCAACCTGAACCAGCCAATCAGATGGCCCTTAGGTTGGCAGGACAACAGCCTGCAGACTCCTCAGCAGAACTAACTCATTCTACTCCTAGAGAAAGCCCTGATCTGGCCACAGGGACCTCGGTAGAGAGAGAGAGGAACAGCGTGGCTGTCTCTCCCAGTCATCCAAACAGAAAGACTGGTCTCCCCCAGTCGTCCTACAGAAGGACTGGTCTCCCCCAGTCGTCCTACAGAAGGACTGGTCTCCCCCAGTCGTCCTACAGAAGGACTGGTCTCCCCCAGTCGTCCTACAGAAGGACTGGTCTCCCCCAGTCGTCCTACAGAAGGACTGGTCTCCCCCAGTTGTCCTACAGAAGGACTGGTCTCCCCCAGTCGTCCTACAGAAGGACTGGTCTCCCCCAGTCTTCCTACAGAAGGACTGGTCTCCCCCAGTCGACCTACAGAAGGACTGGTCTCCCCCAGTCGTCCTACAGAAGGACTGGTCTCCCCCAGTCGTCCTACAGAAGGACTGGTCTCCCCCAGTCGTCCTACAGAAGGACTGGTCTCCCCCAGTCGTCCTACAGAAGGACTGAAGGAGCATAGGTCGGGGCATTCCTCTGGGGCAGAGGAATCATCATTTGAACAGAAGTCTCTGGCACCTCTGCCACAATCTGGTGTCCACGTCTCTACTGACAGTTTAATCAACTCTGTAAAGAATGTAGAGAACTGTACTATAACATCTGGACCCCATGAAGATATCCAGGCAACAAAACGCAACGCTCAGAGTAGCAAAGGCCATAAAGTATGCAAGAGTTTAGATAGCCCCGTATGTCTTTCCCCTGTTGTGAAGGTGAAGCTCCTGAGATCTGGTACAGAACCAAAGAGGATGAATGTAAAGAAAGATGCTTTAGACCCAGGGTCAGACGTTAGGAATCCACAGTCTCCTACAGAGCTACAGAGTAAGGAGCCTTTGAACAACGGGACGCTGAAAGTTGGTGATCGCCCAGTCCATGTTCTACAACACCAGGATATGAACGCTGACAGTAAGAATCCTACAGCCACGGACTGCATCTCTGAGTCCCAGCTGACAGATGAAGGGTCTGAGAAACCAAGTGGAAATGACCAGACTGAGATGATCGGTACTAGAAGTGGGCGTGTCAGGAAGAGTCTTGTTAGATCAAACACAGTCCAAACCAGCTCAGTGAATGACGGTGCCGCTCCCGGAGACGGTGCCTCTCCCAGAGAAGGCCAGCAAACGGCCGTCCGTTCATGTAAAGTTATCATTGAAAGACTCAGCCCTGACATGAGAGGAGAGGGGATCAGTACAGCAGCCTTGCCTGTGGGCCGCTCCCCAGAACCTACAGGGAAAGTTCCTATTGGGAAAGTTCGCTTTGAAATGGGTCCTCCACTACCCCCTCTTCTAATGCCTCTCACTGTAACTCCTCCAAGACCGGTAAAACCTGGCAATCCAAGACAGGTGATTGGTAAACTGTCCTTTCCCTCACCAATGGAAGGGCCTGTTTTCCCTGTGGGGTCCCAAACAGCACCTGACGGTCAGATGTTGAGCTCCCCGTCTCTAACTACCCCTCCGCCAGCCACTGAAGCCCCTTCCTCACCACTGCAGTTTGGTTCAGCCACTCCTAAACATGCCGTTCCTGTTCCAGGGAGACTTCCTGCCTTCAGCTCCTCCTCCTCCTCCACTAGTCCCGCCCAGGAGAACTCCATGAGGATTCTAGACAGCATGTATCCAGAACTCTCCGCCCGTGCTCGGACTCTCAGTATTCTCAGAGGAAACCTCTGTATGTCTGCTGCTGAGACAGAGACAACACCCTCCAGCTCTGTCAGTCAGATATCTGGCTTCAAAACCATCAACTCCTCGTCCACGGCTTTCACCAAAACGGAGCAAAGAGGGAAGCGAAGTGGAGTCAACATGCTTCTACCAAAGAGTGCCAAAAGGCTGAGGCTGGATATCTGCTCCTCCAGCCCTGCTGCAGCAACAGCCAGCCCTGCTGCTAATGGGATATCCTCCACAGCATCAGCCAGTCCAGACCCAGTACTCAGGAAACCTCAACACGGGAGTACTTCACAGCCTACAGAGAAGGAGAAAGTGGTTGGGAAACCAGCAGGCAAAGCCTCCATATCCCAGGCCTTAGAGAAGATAGCAGCCCAGTGTTTTGACCTGTTGCCTGTCATCAAGAGTCACCTGTTTGTTGGGAATCTGTCTAGGAAGCCTGTGTTTGTTGGGAATCTGTCTAGGAAGCCTGTGTTTGTTGGGAATCTGTCTAGGAAGCCTGTGTTTGTTGGGAATCTGTCTAGGAAGCCTGTGTTTGTTGGGAATCTGTCTAGGAAGCCTGTGTTTGTTGGGAATCTGTCTAGGAAGCCTGTGTTTGTTGGGAATCTGTCTAGGAAGCCTGTGTTTGTTGGGAATCTGTCTAGGAAGCCTGTTTGTTGGGAATCTGTCTAGGAAGCCTGTGTTTGTTGGGAATCTGTCTAGGAAGCCTGTGTTTGTTGGGAATCTGTCTAGGAAGCCTGTGTTTGTTGGGAATCTGTCTAGGAAGCCTGTGTTTGTTGGGAATCTGTCTAGGAAGCCTGTGTTTGTTGGGAATCTGTCTAGGAAGCCTGTGTTTGTTGGGAATCTGTCTAGGAAGCCTGTGTTTGTTGGGAATCTGTCTAGGAAGCCTGTGTTTGTTGGGAATCTGTCTAGGAAGCCTGTGTTTGTTGGGAATCTGTCTAGGAAGCCTGTGTTTGTTGGGAATCTGTCTAGGAAGCCTGTGTTTGTTGGGAATCTGTCTAGGAAGCCTGTGTTTGTTGGGAATCTGTCTAGGAAGCCTGTGTTTGTTGGGAATCTGTCTAGGAAGCCTGTGTTTTGTTGGGAATCTGTCTAGGAAGCCTGTGTTTGTTGGGAATCTGTCTAGGAAGCCTGTGTTTGTTGGGAATCTGTCTAGGAAGCCTGTGTTTGTTGGGAATCTGTCTAGGAAGCCTGTGTTTGTTGGGAATCTGTCTAGGAAGCCTGTGTTTGTTGGGAATCTGTCTAGGAAGCCTGTGTTTGTTGGAATCTGTCTAGGAAGCCTGTGTTTGTTGGGAATCTGTCTAGGAAGCCTGTGTTTGTTGGGAATCTGTCTAGGAAGCCTGTGTTTGTTGGGAATCTGTCTAGGAAGCCTGTGTTTGTTGGGAATCTGTCTAGGAAGCCTGTGTTTGTTGGGAATCTGTCTAGGAAGCCTGTGTTTGTTGGGAATCTGTCTAGGAAGCCTGTGTTTGTTGGGAATCTGTCTAGGAAGCCTGTGTTTGTTGGGAATGTCTAGGAAGCCTGTGTTTGTTGGGAATCTGTCTAGGAAGCCTGTGTTTGTTGGGAATCTGTCTAGGAAGCCTGTGTTTGTTGGGAATCTGTCTAGGAAGCCTGTCTAGGAAGCCTGTCTAGGAAGCCTGTGTTACGCGATGAGGAGAAGGAGGTCCTCTCTGAGTTCTCAAACGATCAGGTTAGTCACCTACAGCTTTATCTAGTAGTCTACATAGCATATTTATCTTAGTGTCTTTAAAGAGATGCTTCGGGATTTTGGCAATGAGGCCCTTTTATCTACTTCCCCAGAGTCCGATGAACTCGTGGACACCATTTTTATGTGTCTCTGTGCAGTTTGAAGGAAGTTGCTAACTAGCTCTAGCACAATAGCTAACTAGCGTTAGCGCAATGACTAGAAGTCTATGGTATCTGCTAGCAGATACCATAGACTTCCAGTCATTGTGCTAATGCTAGTTAGCATTGGCGCACAAAACTACCTCAAACGTCTTTCATACTGGACGCAGAGACACAAACAGTATTTACAAGTTCATCTGACTCTGGGGAAAATCATTGCCAAAATCCCCAAGTATCCCTTTAGCTTGTAGACCTAAACACCTCTGACATGGTTGTCCTGTGAATCATTGGTACATGGTTGTCCTGTGAATCATTGGTACATGGTTGTCCTGTGAATCATTGGTACATGGTTGTCCTGTGAATCATTGGTACATGGTTGTCCTGTGAATCATTGGTACATGGTTGTCCTGTGAATCATTGGTACATGGTACATGGTTGTCCTGTGAATCATTGGTACATGGTTGTCCTGTGAATCATTGGTACATGGTTGTCCTGTGAATCATTGGTACATGGTTGTCCTGTGAATCATTGGTACATGGTTGTCCTGTGAATCATTGGTACATGGTTGTCCTGTGAATCATTGGTACATGGTTGTCCTGTGACTTGTCAGCCTCTGGCAGATGATCTGATGTCAGTGATGCTGACTAAGCTGAAGACTGAGAGGACTGAGCTCAGTGGCTCTCACCTCCAGGCTCTGGTTCGAGTCTACACTGCTCTGTGCCGACAGAGGAGGGACTGGGACAGAGCACATATCCTGGCCTACAGCATCCTTATAGAAGGTAACACGTCCTGGACTACAGCATCCTTATAGAAGGTAACACGTCCTGGCCTACAGCATCCTTATAGAAGGTAACACGTCCTGGCCTACAGCATCCTTATAGAAGGTAACACGTCCTGGCCTACAGCATCCTTATAGAAGGTAACACGTCCTGGCCTACAGCATCCTTATAGAAGGTAACACGTCCTGGCCTACAGCATCCTTATAGAGGGTAACACGTCCTGGCCTACAGCATCCTTATAGAAGGTAACACGTCCTGGCCTACAGCATCCTTATAGAAGGTAACACGTCCTGGCCTACAGCATCCTTATAGAAGGTAACACGTCCTGGCCTACAGCATCCTTATAGAAGGTAACACGTCCTGGCCTACAGCATCCTTATAGAGGGTAACACGTCCTGGCCTACATCATCCTTATAGAAGGTAACACGTCCTGGCCTACAGCATCCTTATAGAAGGTAACACGTCCTGGCCTACAGCATCCTTATAGAGGGTAACACGTCCTGGCCTACAGCATCCTTATAGAAGGTAACACGTCCTGGCCTACAGCATCCTTATAGAAGGTAACATGTCCTGGCCTACAGCATCCTTATAGAGGGTAACACGTCCTGGCCTACAGCATCCTTATAGAAGGTAACACGTCCTGGCCTACAGCATCCTTATAGAAGGTAACACGTCCTGGCCTACAGCATCCTTATAGAAGGTAACACGTCCTGGCCTACAGCATCCTTATAGAAGGTAACACGTCCTGGCCTACAGCATCCTTATAGAGGGTAACATGTCTTCATTGAACAGCTTGAGTTGACTGACATCACGTGACTTCACAGCTTGAGGTGACTGACATCACGTGACTTCACAGCTTGAGGTGACTGACATCACGTGACTTCACAGCTTGAGGTGACTGACATCACGTGACTTCACAGCTTGAGGTGACTGACATCACGTGACTTCACAGCTTGAGTTGACTGACATCACGTGACTTCACAGCTTGAGGTGACTGACATCACGTGACTTCACAGCTTGAGGTGACTGACATCACGTGACTTCACAGCTTGAGTTGACTGACATCACGTGACTTCACAGCTTGAGTTGACTGACATCACGTGACTTCACAGCTTGAGTTGACTGACATCACGTGACTTCACAGCTTGAGGTGACTTAGTTGATGTTGTTTTCCTTCGCCACAGATTTCCCTGAGTCAGCCAAGCTGGTTCTGTTCATGGTGACGACGTGGCCCAACGTGTTCTCCTGCAGGACTGTAGTGTGTCGGGCCGTACACACGGTCACCAAGGCCAAAGCACAAGGAGAGGTGCTCCACTGCCTAACTGCTTACCTGGGATGGGAGAAGGTATGGCATCTCTGTAATGTTGTTCTGTGGGCATGAATGGGTTATGGCTTTACTGTTGTCTGTTGTTCTCCACTGTTTCATCCATTAACAGAGGGAAGAGTTGTCAGTATTCTCGGGGCGGCAGGTAGCTTAGTGGGTAAGAGCGTTGTGCCAGTAACCGAAAGGTCGCTGGTTCTAATCCCCTAGGTGAAAAATCTGTCGATGTGCCCTTGAGCAAGGCACTTAACCCTAATTGCTCCTGTAAGTCGCTCTGGATAAGAGCGTCTGCTAAATGACAAAAAATGTAAAATGTAAATGCATTCTGAGAAGGCAATGCCTGGCTGTTTCCTGTATGTGTATTGTGAAGCTTTGACTTCATGCCATGTCTGTGTCCCCAGAGTCCTCCTAGTGACTTGGATCAGTTGGTTTCCTGCACGTTGATGTCCGTCAGAGCTGCAGCTGAGATGACCTTCCAGAAACACCCCCGACAGGGAGAGGACCTGAACCCTGTTGCCTGGCAACACATTTTCACCCTGGAGCTGCTCTGCTCTCATACGCGCTGGAAGTGGACCCATGACAACCTACTGAGGTACCAAACTGGCTGCCACAGCTGGACTGAAAGTCATCAGCTAACAAACAATGAAGACATAACATACATTTAGCAAACTCTTAATGCCATTATGACCATCCAGATAGATATTAATCTAGCTAGTCAGCATGTAAAAACAAAAACAACCTAAAAATGATTTTGTAAAGCGTTGAAGGATGGTTAGATAATAATTTAAGTAGCCAACTCAGCCAGTTAGCCCCATTTTTGATTTAAACTGCAGACCCGACCAAATTAACATAGAAATATGAGTTATAGATCTGTGATTCTCATTGAAAGCAAGTCTTAAGAAGTGGTAGATCTGTTCTATGTGAGCTATTTCTATGCTACCCGGTCTTAAATTTCGTTTTTGCGTCTTTTACTTTTGGTTTTGTACACCAGCTTCAAACAGCTGAAAATACAATATGTTTGGTTATGGAAATATATATTTCACAGTGATTTAGATGGTACAATGATTCTCTACACTATACATGCTTGTTTTGTCACAGAAATTTAGCAAACTTTTAGAATGTTAGCAACCAGGAAACATAGGCTTGGATTAGCATGGCTAGCACACTGCAGTGGATATTGAGGAAACATGACAAACTGAACACAGTAGAAACGGTATGTTGGGTTGTGTATGGATCACCATATCAGTCAGTAAATCATGGCCTTATCTGTTTAGTTCTTTATTTCTCTGTTTTTAAAGTAAAGAGCTGTGGCCCATGATGAACTCCTGGGTGACCCAGCCCAGATCAGGACAGACACCCATCCAGGATGTCACTGTGGCTGCAGTCCTCAGACTCATAGGTGGGTGGTGGTGGTTGTGGTGGTGGTTGGTGGTTGGTGGTGGGTGGTGGGTGGTGGGTGGTGGGTGGTGGTGGTGGTGGTGGTTTTTGGGTATAATTGTTTTATGAAACACTTGATATGATTTGTACTGACCAATGAAGTGTAACCATGAGAACCTCCTCGCAGGGCGCCTTGGGCAGCTTGGAATAAAGGAGAGATGCAGCTCGTCTGTGAAGAACATTGCCAGTGTCATCAACACATTCGCCAGACACGCTCAGTCGGAAGGTAATCTACTGTAAAGGTTCTGAATGGTTCATCTTATATACACTGCTCCAAAAAATAAAGGGAACACTTAAACAACACAATGTAACTCCAAGTCAATCACACTTCTGTGAAATCAAACTGTCCACTTAGGAAGCAACACTGATTGACAATGCATTTCACATGCTGTTGTGCAAATGGAATAGACAACAGGTGGAAATTATAGGCAATTAGCAAGACACCCCCAATAAAGGACTGGTTTTGCAGGTGGTGACCACAGACCACTTCTCAGTTCCTATGCTTCCTGGCTGATGTTTTGGTCACTTTTGAATGCTGGCGGTGCTTTCACTCTAATGGTAGCATGAGACGGAGTCTACAACCCACACAAGTGGCTCAGGTAGTGCAGCTCATCCAGGATGGCACATCAATGCGAGCTGTGGCAAGAAGGTTTGCTGTGTCTGTCAGCGTAGTGTCCAGAGCATGGAGGCGCTACCAGGAGACAGGCCAGTACATCAGGAGACGTGGAGGAGGCCGTAGGAGGGCAACAACCCAACAGCAGGACCGCTACCTCCGCCTTTGTGCAAGGAGGAGCAGGCGGAGGACTGCCAGAGCCCTGCAAAATGACCTCCAGCAGGCCACAAATGTGCATGTGTCTGCTCAAACGGTCAGAAACAGACTCCATGAGGGTGGTATGAGGGCCCGACGTCCACAGGTGGGGGTTGTGCTTACAGCCCAACACCGTGCAGGACGTTTGGCATTTGCCAGAGAACACCAAGATTGGCAAATTCGCCACTGGCGCCCTGTGCTCTTCACAGATGAAAGCAGGTTCACACTGAGCACATGTGACAGACGTGACAGTCTGGAGACGCCGTGGAGAACGTTCTGCTGCCTGCAACATCCTCCATCATGACCGGTTTGGCGGTGGGTCAGTCATGGTGTGGGGTGGCATTTCTTTGGGGGGCCGCACAGCCCTCCATGTGCTCGCCAGAGGTAGCCTGACTGCCATTAGGTACCGAGATGAGATCCTCAGACCATATGCCTGTGAGACCATATGCTGGTGTGGTTGGTCGTTTATTGGGGGTGTCTTGGTTGTCAGCAGTTCCTGCAAGAGGAAGGCATTGATGCTATGGACTGGCCCGCCCGTTCCCCAGACCTGAATCCAATTGAGCACATCTGGGACATCATGTCTCGCTCCATCCACCAACGCCACGTTGCACCACAGACTGTCCAGGAGTTGGCGGATGCTTTAGTCCAGGTCTGGGAGGAGATCCCTCAGGAGACCATCCGCCACCTCATCAGGAGCATGCCCAGGCATTGTAAGGAGGTCATACAGGCACGTGGAGGCCACACACACTACTGAGACTCATTTTGACTTGTTTTAAGGACATTACATCAAAGTTGGATCAGCCTGTAGTGTGGTTTTCCACTTTAATTTTGAGGGTGACTCCAAATCCAGACCTCCATGGGTTGATAAATTTGATTTCCATTGATAATTTTTGTGTGATTTTGTTGTCAGCATATTCAACTATGTAAAGAAAAAAGGATTTAATAAGATTATTTCATTCATTCAGATCTAGGTGAATGTGTTTTTTTTAGTGTTCCCTTTATTTTTTTGAGCAGTATATATTCGTCTCCCGAGTGGCGCAGTGGTCTAAGGCACTGCATCACAGTGCTAGCTGTGCCACTAGAAATCCTGGTTCGAATCCAGGCTCTGTCGTAGCCGGTCGCGACCGGGAGACCCATGGGGCGGCGCGCAATTAGCCCAGCATCATCCAGGGTAGGGGAGGGAATGGCCGGCAGGGATGTAGCTCAGTTGGTAGAGCATGGTGTTTGCAACGCCAGGGTTGTGGGTTCGATTCCCACGGGGGGCCAGTATGAAGAAAAGAAAAAATATTATGTATAACTGTAAGTCGCTCTGGATAAGAGCATCTGCTAAATGACACACAAAAAAATATATATATATATCATTGGTAGTTTTACTCAGATGGACTACCATCCCAGTTGCTTTAACCGGCAGAATATCTATTGTCAAGATGAATATACTGCCACGGCTGAATTCGTGCAGTTCAATGCTTCCCTTGTCTCTCCCTTCTGGCTATTGGGATAAAATTCATAGTGCGGTTTCAAAATGTATATGGAAAGGTAAACGATCCCGGGTTAAAATTAATAAACTTACAAAGAGGGAAAGACGTAGGAGGACTATCTGTACCAAACTTTAAATTGTATTTCCAGGCACTAGCATTTCGCCCCATCATAAATTGGTTTAGACATGATTGGTCTGCCCCCTGGCTGAGTAGAGAGAGAAATATGTGACCGACCGCCTCGATTTGGTCTTATGTAGCAACATTTGAAATTGTGTTTTTTACATTGGATAAAAGTAGAGACTCAGAGCTAGAAAATGGTATATCATACACTACAGTTGAGGAGCAATGGGAAAGTAATTTTGCTTTGAAAGTTGATCATCTTGTAACCCCACTTTTGAGAGAATTTTCCTTGAATGTTTTGCTAACTACTGGAGAGCTCTTCTTTGTCTCCACCCATTCAGCATCGTTCACACCCTCTTAAGCCTTAGCCCCACCCATCTCTTTAAGGATTCACATGTGAGGCCATGTGCTAAACACACACTACATCAAATAAAATCTAAGTTTATTTGTCACATGCACAGGATACAGAAGGTGTAAACGGTACAGTGAAGTGCTTACTTGCATAGTAGCAATATCAAAAACAGAATGTGTCCAGATAAAAATATTTTATGAATATTTTATCATTTATTAGATGACGCTTACCCGACACAGTAAATTGATGGGTCATGTGAAAGAAATGCTATAACCACCCCCCAGCCACATCTAGCTAAGTGGATGGGTCACTATTGTCTAGACATGTACACATGTTCATGAAATACAATAGATGGCCGTAATCACACCCAGACACACCTGGCTAATTTGATGGGTCATGTAATAATCCGTCCGAACTGGAGTCTTCTGTTTAGACATGTAGCTAGCTAGCTAAACAATGAACCGGCATAATCCCAACTCATACTACTACCAATACAAACATTGCCATAGCTGTAGTGTGAATCTGCAGGTAGCTAAAGCTAACACATTAGGTTCAATGTTAGCTAGCTAACATTAGGCTATAATTAGCAATGCAAATGGTCAGCGGGAAGGTTCTTGTCTTTTTCCATGGCTAAACCAACAAGGCTCATAATTTAACAATTTTATTAGTATTTGTGGATGGAATACAAGTTTGTTATTAAGGCACATGAAAGTTCACATGTTCCAGAAGGCATTTCTGCCAAAAAAAAACGCATTTACGTTCAAATGCCGCTCCTGTGAAATATTGACGTGGGACATACCAGAGAACATGAGGGTGATTTTCTGGAGAAAAAAAATCTCAATTTGTCTGTCATAGTTGACGTGTACCTATGATGAAAATTACAGGCCTCTCTCATCTTTTTAAGTGGGAGAACTTGCACAATTGGTGGCTGACTAAATACTTTTTTCCCCCACTGTATATCCCTTAAACAATGTAATATGGTGTCTCCTACTGCCCTGGAAGAGGTGGTTTCTTAAACAATGGAAATTACTCTTTGGTTTTATTATTGCTCTCACAATTTCTGTTTCACGCAAAATGTAAAAGCAATGTAACTGCGAATCAAAATGGCGTGGCCATACTCCAATATTTAACAAGAATGCCCTGTGATCAGGAGGGTGGCCTTTTGCATCCCCGAAATGGTCAAAATGTAGAATCTGTACCCTTACCGATATCATGGACAGTAATTGGGGGGGGATGTAAAGTGAGACTCTGGAGGGATGAATGGATGGAATGGATGGATGGATGGGGTGGGTGGATGGATGGAATGGATGGAATGGATGGGGTGGGTGGATGGATGGGGTGGGTGGATGGATGGAATGGATGGATGGATGGAATGGATGGATGGATGGAATGGATGGGGTGGGTGGATGGGGGGGGTGGATGGATGGAATGGATGGATGGGGTGGGTGGATGGATGGATGGGGGGGTGGATGGATGGAATGGATGGATGGGGTGGATGGATGGATGGATGGATGGGGGTGGGTGGGTGGATGGATGGGGTGGGTGGATGGCTGGATGGATGGGGTGGGTGGATGGATGGATGGATGGGGTGGGTGGATGGATGGATGGATGGGTGGATGGGGTGGGTGGATGGATGGATGGATGGGGTGGGTGGATGGATGGATGGATGGATGGATGGATGGGGTGGGTGGATGGGGTGGGTGGATGGATGAGAGGGAGACCGATAAGCAACGTCAGTTTCTGGGTGGGGTGGTATGGCATATATCATATGAATATATCTGAATGATTGACTTCCAGTGTTATACCTCTACCTGTAACCATAACCCTTAAAAAAAATAAAATAATTCTGCTCAGATGAGACTGGACAGATATGTGTGTCTGTATTGGACAGATGGCCAACCAATGAGTCTCTGTGATGTCATTTCCAGGTGTTCCCTGGGAGGTCCAGCTGGCAGCTGTCTACACCGTCTATGACCTGTCGCCTGGCAACCCCAAGGAGGCCCTGGCTGCACTGGCGTCATGGCGAGAAGAGACCACCCAGCCCGTCCCCCCCGCTGTCACCAGCTGCATCACACAGATCGCCTCGCTCTGCCGACACATCAAACCCTAGCTCCTAGTCCTTAATCCCACCACACCTCTAACCCCTCGTTCCACTTGTACAGATCTGAAAGGATTTTCTAGGTCACCGATTGGCTATCAGAGGTCAAGGTGAAGCAGCTTCCATATTGCTGTTACCTATCCATACCTTTTAGACCCTGTTGTGGACCGAACCCCTCAGTGACTGGTTTTAATGTCCATATTATTTAGCTGTTGGTTAAATCATCATGTTGGTCTCTCTGATTTAAACATCACCTTCTGTTCCCCTTGATGTTTTTCTTTGGTTTTCGGATTCAGTTCTTGGAATATATTTTTCATTTTCATGTTAAGCATGACATTGTAAATATGATGTTCAGATCCCATTTTGTGAAAATCAGTGTATACAAGATAAATGTCCTACTTTTGTAAATATTCACTGTTACAGAGTCTATTTCTATGTGATTTTACACATTAAAATCTAAGCAGTAAGCCTTGTTTTCTCCTTCCCATAGTGGTGATTGAAAGCGTAGCCATGATTTCTCCTTCCCATAGTGGTGATTGAAAGCACAGCCATGATTTCTCCTTCCCATAGTGGTGATTGAAAGCACAGCCATGGTGATAGAAAGCGTAGCCATGGTGATAGAAAGCGTAGCCATGGTGATAGAAAGCGTAGCCATGGTGATATAAAGCGTAGCCATGGTGATGGAAAGTGTAGCCATGGTGATAGAAAGCGTAGCCATGGTGATAGAAAGCGTAGCCATGGTGATTGAAAGCGTAGCCATGGTGATGGAAAGCGTAGCCATGGTGATAGACAGCGTAGCCATGGTGATAGACAGCGTAGCCATGGTGATCACACGTAAAAACCAACAGTCTGAACTATTCTATTACTGTCAATTTACATCAAAAATAGAGATTTCGTTAAAAAAAGAGAACTTGTTATTTTCAGAATCCTTTCTTTACCAAGTACCTTTACACATACTCAGATTGTTACTAGGTGATGGTGCTGCTAGTGATCGACAACATACTCAGAATGTTACTTGGTTGATGGTGCTCCTAGTGAGTTATTTGTAGGTATGCTGTTGGTCTGCACTGTGTCCTGTTATGCATTTCTATATTATTTTATTAGAAAAATATATATCATTGTCAGGGCTTTTCTGTAGGTGCAAAACACGTTTCTGTCAATGGCACAACATGTCTAATTTGCTTCAGCTTTTGGGTTTGGGGTTGTCAATCTTGTCCCCACAGAAAATGTATTTTCTGCTTCTCAAAAAGGCCTTGTGAAACATCATGGCCGGAGTCTGAAAACATCTCCGTCAGCCTTGGTGATGACATCATCCAAGGGTACAATAACAGAGTGGTGTTCCTCCCAAATGACAACCTGTTCCCTATGCAGTGCACTACATTTGACCAGGGCCCATAGGGAGCCATTTGGGACGCCTCCTCAGGAAGTGTGCAGTTCCACTCTTGTATAGAAGCTCTGTACTGAGACCAACTGGAGGATGATTGGACAACACAACAGCCTGCAGTGAGACAAAGGTAAGGCTTTTTAAACAGCCCTGAAGACTACAGTCTTTAGGAGAGACGTAGTCATCGTCATGCTGATAGGATTCATCAATGGGGCCTTGGGTTCCTCTGACGTGAGCTGTACACTACAGGCTTTTATATATGGTGCTTCATTTCCCATTGATATATCTAGGACATGGTGGATACGGTTGACCTTTTATAGGCTGTTGATACCCTAGTTATTATCCTGTTTACTGTAATATCACAACATTATAGGCTGTTGATACCCTAGTTATTATCCTGTTTACTGTAATATCACAACATTATAGGCTGTTGATACCCTAGTTATTATCCTGTTTACTGTATACTGATCACCATTATAGGCCTGTTTGATACCCTAGTTATTATCCTGTTTACTGTAACTATCACATTATAGGCGTTGTACCCTAGTTATATCCTGTTTAACTTAATATCCATTATAGGCTGTGAATACCTAGTTTTATTATCCGGTTTACTGTAATATCCCACATTTATAGGCTGTTGATACCCCTAGGTTATTTCCTCGTTTTACTGTAATATCACAACATTATAGGCGTTGATACCCTGTTATTATATGTTATGTATTATCAAAACATTATAGGCTGTTGATACACTCCGTTATTATCCGGTTACTGTAATATCACATATAGGCTGTTGATACACTAGTTATTATCTGTTTACTGGAATATAACAACATTAAGGTGTGATACACTAGGTATTATCCTGTTACTGTAATAGCACAAACATTATAGGCTGTTGAACCCTAGTGAGTATCTGTTTTTAATGTAATATTACAAACTTATAGGCTGTGCTTACCCTAGTTATATTCTGTTTACTGTAATATCACAACATATAGGCTGTTGATACAATAGTTATTATCCTGTTTACTGTAATATTCACATTATGGCTGTTGATACCCTAGTATTATTGCCTGTTTACTGTAATATCCAACATTATAGGCTGTTGATTACCCTAGTTATTATCCTGTTTACTGTAATATCACACATTATAGGCGGTGGTTGATCCCCTAGGTATATCCGGTTTCTGTAATATCACAACTTATAGGCTGTGATACCCTAGTTATTATCCTTGGTTACTGTATAATATCACATAATAGGATGTTGATACCTAGTTATTATCCGTTTACTGTATATCACATTATAGGCTGTTGTTGATACCTCGTTATTATCCTGTTTACTGTAATACACATTATAGGCTGTTGATACCTAGTTATTATAATGTTTACTGTAATATCACATTATAGGCTGTTGATACATAGTTATATCATGTTTACTGTCATATCACATGTATAGGCTGTTGATTCCCCTAGTTATTATCCTGTTTACTTTAATATCACAACATTAGAGGCTGTTGATACCCTAGTTATATCATGTTACGTAATATCACAAAAATCGGCGTTTGATACCCTAGTTATATTACTGTGTACTGTGAATATCACATTATAGGCGGTGATACCTAGTTATTTCCTGTTGACTGTAATATTACAAACATTTTATAGGCCTGTTGATACACTAGTTATTATCCTGTTTACTGTAATATCACAACATTATAGGCTGTTGATACCCTAGTTATTATCCTGTTTACTGTAATATCACAACATTATAGGCTGTTGATACCCTAGTTATTATCCTGTTTACTGTAATATCACAACATTATAGGCTGTTGATACCCTAGTTATTATCCTGTTTACTGTAATATCACATTATAGGCTGTTGATACCCTAGTTATTATCCTGTTTACTGTAATATCACATTATAGGCTGTTGATACACTAGTTATTATCCTGTTTACTGTAATATCACATTATAGGCTGTTGATACACCTAGTTATTATCCTGTTTACTGTAATATCACATTATAGGCTGTTGATACACTAGTTATTATCCTGTTTACTGTAATATCACAACATTATAGGCTGTTGATACACTAGTTATTATCCTGTTTACTGTAATATCACAACATTATAGGCTGTTTGATACCCTAGTTATTATCCTGTTTACTTGTATATCAACTTATAGGGATGTTGATACATAGTTATTATCCTGTTTACTGTAATATTCAAACTTATAGGCTGTTGATTTGATACACAGTTATTATCCTGTTTAATGTAATATCACAACATTATAGGCTGTTGATACCCTAGTTATTATCCTTGTGTACTGTAAATCACAACATTATAGGCTGGTGATACCCTAGTATATTCTGTTTAATGTACATAGCACAAACAATAGGCTGTTGATACCTGAGTTATTATCCTGTTTACTTTATGTCATATCACATATAGGATGTTGATACCTAGTTATGATCCTGTTTACGTAATATCACAACATTATAGGCTGTGATACCCTAGTTATCATCATGTTTACGTAATATTCACAAACATTAGTAGGATGTGATACCCTATTATATCCGTTTATAATATCACATTATAGGCTGTTGATGACCCTTAGTTATTACCTGTTTACTGGTAATATCACATTATAGGCTGTTGATACCTAGTTATTATCCTGTTTACTGTAATCACAACATATAGGCTGTTGATACCCTAGTGATATATCATGTTTACTGAATTCACAACAGTATAGGCCTTGTTGATACACGAGTTATATACGCTGTTTACTGTAATATACATATAGGCTGTTGATTATACACTAGTATATCCTGTTTTACTGTAATTATCAAATGATAGGCTGTGATACACTAGTTATATCCTGTTTTACTGTAGTATCGCAACATTATAGCTGTTGATTACATAGTTATTATTCTGTTTACTGTAATATATCACAACATTTAGGCTGTTGTACCTAGTTATATCATGTTTACTGGAATATTATCAACATTATAGGCTGTGGATACCCTAGTTATTATCCTGTTACTGTAATCTCACAACATTATAGGACTGTTGATACACTAGTATTATACTGTTTACTGTAATATCACACACATTATAGCTGTTGATACCCTGTTATTATCATGGGTTACTGTAATTCAACATTATAGGCTGTTTGTACACTAGTTATATCTGGTTACTGTAATTATCACATTATAGGCTGTTGATACATAGTTATTCATCCTGTTTACGTAATTATCACATTATAGGCTGTGTACCCTAGTTATTATCCTGTTTACTGTAATATCACAACCAGTATAGGCTGTTGATACCCTATTATTATCCGTTTACTGTAATATCACAACATTATAGGCTGTGATAACCATAGTTATTATCATGATTTACTGTAATATCACATTATAGGCTGTTGATACCCTAGTTATTATCTGTTACTGTTAATATACAACATTATAGGCTGTTGATACCCTAGTTATATAATGTTTTATGTAATAATAACAACAGTATAGGCTGTTGATACACTAGTAGTATTATCCTGTTTACTGTAATATCACATTATAGGCTGTTGATA